TCATAATCGCCAAAAGTGCAGGAACTCAGCGATGAGTAAATTTGCCACATGTTTTCCTAGGTTTTTCCAGGGAAAAATTCCCGAATTTGAGAACAGTAAAGATTGGATTCACTCAGTCTATTGGTACTACCATAGAGGTAACTCTAAGACTAGAAGGTCCCGAAATAACGTGCTCAACTTTTTGGCTCAGCTCTGGTACTCTCTTCGGTCCCAAGCTAATCGATTCACCCCTCGAAACATAGGAAAAACTACACACAAAATACAAAAATTGTTCTATTGAATATATTGCACTTTTGTTTTAAGAAGTGGTTTGTTTTTATTGAAATAAAAGGGAAAATTTTTAGTATGAAAGTGATTTGTTTGATTTAACAGTGTTTTTTCATCGGTTCTGTTGTCGATTTGAAAGTGTTTTCTTTTAACGTGAAAATTGTAGAACTGTCAAATCGTACAACACAACCACAATATCACATATTTCGGGTTTGACCGTATGGAATTCGTTGTCTCTTTCGTTCCTCTGCTTCTTATTTGATATGCAGTGTACGACATCACATTAGCTGGCTCATAAGAACAGCATAGGAATGAAAGGGACAAACAACTCACAGTGCCCAGTGCTGTAACAATACAAGCGAGTCGTTTTGGTCGGCGTTTGTAGTGGTTGTATTTCGTGCCCGTCGATATTGAAACTGGATGTTTTCGCGTTTCGGATGTTTTCGCGTTTCGGATGTTTTAAATGTTGCGGCTGTTTCGTCTAGTGATTCATAGTAAGTAAATATACATTCAGTGCTAGATTAAGAGTAGAAGTGAAAAGAAATATGATACCTCAGCCAGAATTTCTGGACGTTGAGATGTATGAAGAGGAAGCGGAAGAAGAAGAAGATGTAGGTGAGGAGGAAGAGGTTGAAATTTTGGAATCTCTAGATGATTCCGATATATCAGAAGATTTCGGGGACGAAGATGAACCCCTTAAGGAGGATGATCCAAGCTTCGATACATTAGCTGGTGAGTAATATTGAACTTAGAACATAAAAAGAATAACTGACATAACCTTTAAGACAAAGCAGCCATTAACAAAAATGCATAACCTCATTTTTTTCTCTTATTATTTTTTTTTACTTCACAGTACATGACACGCCAACCGGACTTCGACCATCAGATCCTGTTATTATCAAACAACAAACTCAAATAGGGTCCGAGCTCATACCGAAAGGTAAGTAGCAAGTTATTTTTGTACACCTAGACTGTAAAATTTTCAACGATTTTTCTCACATTCGAGCAGATTTTTGAGGAAAATACCAGAAAACTATCTCAGTCTATTAGTTAACGACATATTGGCGAATTTGAGTGAACAAAACTCAAATTTGATTTGATCTCATTGGCTGTGTACATACATAAAGTTAAAACATGATGAAAAAAAAATCCAATTTCTATTGATATTCAAGAATAACTATGCAAATCGACGTATCTAATTTCGTAAACAATCACTTCAATCGACGATTTGTGACAACTGCTAGCTCACTCACAGACACTAACAACACCAGATAGTAGGAGAGAGATTCCCCTACCTGATGATGGTGTTTACGTGGGTGAGTTAGCAGTTAAGACAAATCGTCGATTGAAGTGATTGTTTACAAAATCAGTTACGTCGATTTGAATAGTTACGCTTGAATGTTTGTTTTGTATATCCGTGGTAAGCCAAAAATTCAAAATAAAAATCGATCGAGACATATTAAACTTTGCAACAACTCTGCTATAAATTTGGATAGATTTCTATTTCTCTTTGTATATTGTTTTAAATGTTATTATTTTATCTTCTACAGCTGAACAAAACGTATCCACACCGGTCACTGAAACGGCCGTGGCAGCTCCTGAGTCATGTCACCGATTGGAGCCGCATGAGGCTGTGGAAACATTAATCAGTTCTGTAGCTCCAGCAACCGTTCCCAGTAACTTCTATCCCAGAACGTCTGAGATGTCAACGGATCCATCTACTGGTTCTCCTCTAAAACAGATCTTGACGATTGAATGGAAACTGGCTCCTAGTATATACGTATTGTTGAAAGGTAATCTATCTTTTTTTTCACTTATATCAATGTCCTTAAACACGTATTACATAGGGGAAAAGTCAATTTGTATGCCTGTGTTGTTTGTTGTATTTACATTTTTTGTATTGCAATATAGGGTTTAGCACATAATGTACCTTTTAGAATTTGATGGCAAATTAATATCTAAAGCTGTTTTCATCTTTATTAATGCATGTCGTGGATGCATCATATTAGACGCAATTACAAACTTGACTCACTTCTGTATTATGCTCGCACACAGACATGTGTTTCACGAAATTACTCCTAACAATCCTAATAACCGGTACTTATTTTGAAGTAATGAAATTGGGATGTTAGCGGAATGCTTATATAAAACAGCAAAAAAAAAGTTATTTTCCATTTAATTCCAATTAATTCATTTTGGTATCCATGATAAATACGTATTTCGACTACAATGTTCAGTCTTCATCAGTGTCATTCCCACTTATTTATTAACACTCAACTCTTACATTCGTCACGAAAAACTGTTTGTGGGTAACCTTATTTTTTAATCTTTCTTGACAACACATTACTATTTTTAAGATTCAATAGTAGTATGAACTGATTTGATTAAATAGTTCTTTCATGGACAATGCAAACCTTCTCACATATTCTCGAAAAACCAGAATGCAAGTTAAACATGGCAAGGCTTGATTGATTAATGGATGTCTACTAATTGGTGCATATATGTTCCGGCCCAACTCATTAATTAATATTATACTGTTATGTACATTTTTCATAACATTTTAATTTGGAAACATTTTGCGTCACATTAAGAACAATAGTGCGTAAACAATATCAAAAGCTATTTTTTCCATTTTTTTTAAATAAATTCGACTTGACCATTCTTACATTTTTTGTTCCTTTTCTTTGATATGTCAAATAGTGACACGCAGCTTTTTTAAGAGTTTAATCAAGAAGTGATTAAAAAAAAACATTGATTTTTTTATATTTCTTTAGCTGCGTCCACGGTAGGATGAAATGGGCTCTGAAGAGATGGCGTGGCACCATATTATGAAAAATTAAATGCTTTTTACTATATCGGTAAGGGTTACGTGCCACTTCGCCACTCCTTTGACAAAATTGGGTTGTTAGGAGAGGTGGGGTGGAGTACTTGTTCCGAAGCACAGAAAGACATTGTAACTATAATTCGAAAACGGTTGAAGATCTTGATACATTTCGATAAATTCAAATGCGTTTTTTTTCTGATTGCAAAAAGCTCGCGTCATTCTATAATTTTTGCTATTTTACACTAAATAAAATAATAAATAATAAGATTCGAAGAAGGTAGATAATTCACAGTTATATCAACAATCAATACGAAACTAACGAGTTTAAATTGGCTCACCACTTTAGTAGCCTATTGGTCCCAAGCAAACGATTAACGTACCCTATTCTAGTTGAAATTCTATTACTACACTATGTTTGTTTTGATTCGCTATGAAAGTTTGACAGATAACATCAGGGGTGTGTGGATTCATGCAGAACATGCAGGGGTGAGTGAAATAGCTTGGGACTGCTTGGGACCGTTGTTCTGGTACTGGGTGAGCCAAAAATAATAATGATTTTCTTCGGGACCCAGTGGTCTTAGAGTTACCTCTATGGTTATATCACAAACGAAGTGACAGACGACTTACTGGTGAAGAAATCAATTAAAATAATGTGGTTCGCTGTAATAGAATTTTCTTAGAAGCTTGTGCCATCATCCACCAGATGGGATAGTATTTTTGTTTTGGTTTTGCACGAAGTTGATTTTGTGTACAATGATTCTTTGACAGTGTGCAAAGAATGTATATCATTTTGTCATTTTTTTATGCATTCCAGTTTTGAGTAGAGTGAAAGAGATAGAACCAAAACATTCTAGTACATTTGGTGAAAATGCTAGTTCAATCCAGTAGTAGTGTTGCCATGTGGTACAATCCACTGGTAGTGGTGTTGCCATGTGGTACACTGAAAAATTGCAATAGCAGGTTAGTCACCAAAGTTTTCGAGCCGCTCCGTCTGTCACTTCGTTTGTGGTTATATTGAGCACTGAAAAGTGCTGTTTAAATTTGTTGTAGCTTTAGGTAACACTTCCTTCAGCAAATAGCAAAAAGATCCATGTCATAATTTTCCCAGTAGTTTATAAATCTTTTGTTACTTTTTTTTTCAGAAAGAGGCTTGACATACGAGGATCTTAAATTACTCTCGAAGGACGACGTTGATGACGTATTTAGTCCCAGCAGGACTGGAGAAAAAATTCGATTGCGATCGAAACTGCGCTGCTGGTCGGAGTCCAAACAATATCAACCACCTCAAGAAGGATGCTCAAGAAGTTTGAACTTTTCAAAGTCACAAGTTCAGTCTGAGGACTTAGAACAACTGCTGAAGAATAATGAGAAAGGAAAAATAATTTCTAAATATTTTGAAAAATTTCAGACACTCAATAACCTAATGCGAAAGCAATTGAGTGAAATCATCTGCGATTCATATATTTCATTAGAAAAGCCCTTCCCGTTATCAGATATGGAAAAATTCAGTGAACTTATTTCCGCAAAATTTTCTTCTGAAACAAAAGTATCTATTGCTTCAAAAATAAGAATTATTGCTTGTGTTCTTCTACAAGTAGTTTTGTTTCCTTTATTTGTTTTGTAGGACGCTTATCTATGTGCTCGTGATAAAGAAATTGGCAAATTGAACCCGTCTGGATTGATATATAACCGGTACTATAACTCGCGAGATCGGAAAGCATTCCAGCCACCAGTTCAGAGGAAACGCAAACTGGAAAACCCCAACGACGATCCAAGAACAAGTGAAGCTCATCAACATTTCAGTCAAGAAGGTAACAAAAGTTTTTCAACAGATTTAATGTTAACATGATTTTTACATGGTATTTTCCTGCATAAATTTATATCCAGATTTAGTTATCCTGAAGGAAGATCATGCCTGGTTGATGAATAATAATGTTCCCGTCGAAGATGTTAAAGAGCGTTGGAGAAGAACAGTAAAGTTTCGTCTTGATAGTATCAAAGATCTGCAGAACGAAAGAAATAAGTTCCAGAAGCTTTTGGAGGTGTGGCCTCGGTTTAAGGATAGCGAAGGAGCAGTTTATGTGAGTAAATCAAGATAACTTGGAATAGTTAATTTATTTTTCGATGGGTGATTCCGGGTCTCACCTTATCCCGTCTGACCTGGTGTAGAGCTCTTTCACCCATTCAAATGTTATGAAACGCAAGAGGAAGGAGGTAGTACCAACAATCAATACGAAACTAACGATTTTAAATTGGCTCACCACTTTAGTAGCCTATTGGTCCCAAGCAAACGATTAACGTACCCTATTCTAGTTGAAATTCTATTACTACACTATGTTTGTTTTGATTCGCTATGAAAGTTTGACAGATAACATCAGGGGTGTGTGGATTTATGCAGAACATGCAGGGGTGAGTGAAATAGCTTGGGACTGCTTGGGACCGTTGTTCTGGTACTGAGTGAGCCAAAAATAATAATGATTTTCTTCAGGACCCAGTGGTCTTAGAGTTACCTCTATGGTAGGTCACTCCGCACACCAATCTTGGGTCATCTTTTTTGTAAGTGTGCCTCAAATGTGCCGCAGGTGTGCCGATTGTGCCGGTAATAGAGCAAGCTGCGATTGTTTGTAAAATACCCATACCGGCAACCCGGTATTTCTGACACCTTGAATGTTTTGGTTTGTAATCGCAAGGATAAATCGGATTGAGGATGACGATGCTGCAACCAGGTCAATCCATCGGTTGTGTAATATAACGTTGTACGATGTACATCGATTTTGCAAACAAAATTACATCCATTGATGTAATATTGTATCTGCTTTTTGCTATCACATCATTATTTCATACATCAGCTTGAATTAAATTGATCGATATTACATTTTTTTTTTGCTGTGTATAGAGATTTTTGACGTTTAATCGGCGCACACTACTGCACCATTTAAATCGAACGAGTGCGAGCAAGAGGGAAACAGATTGGTGGGAAAACAAATCGTCCATTCATCCATGTGTGCTAGATAGAGAAAGGCGGTTAAACGTCAAAAAGGTCTATGGTACGAACCCTCGTTGCATGTCATTGCATGTTGTGATGAAAGACAAGGCTCTTAGACACAATGTTTTAGTTTTAAACGCTGGCCAGACTGAGCAGTTATAACATGTTATAACGGTTGTCAAATAATTGCAACACAGAAACCACCATCAAGATGGCGCTATAACATGTTATAACTCTGTAGTCTGAACGTACTATTACGAAGAATTTAGCGTCACACTTCTCTTCATCATACACTTCTAAAATGTGTCATTCCATTTCAACACATGATAGGCTCTATATGTCGAAGTAGCGCGGGACCCTATTAGAATAAATCCTTTAGATTTTAATGTTACTATCAATATCAAATGAAATACTTTTCATAAGAAAAGCAAAATAAACGCTATTGTAGATGTTTGTGATTGAAAAAAATAAAAAAAAAAACGCTTTAAAAGGTGAAACAAAATGAAAACAGCACACCACAGCAAATAAAAACCCACATAAATGTGAACCATTAATTGACCTCACCAAAAATTGTTAGACATTGTTTATAATCCCTGCTAAACTTTAACTGAAATGTTTATCGAACTTTACATGAACGTTTGTGGGATAAAGTTTTAACCTTATATATTATGGTATTATGGATGGTTTTGTAACATCGATCAACTTTATGTGGAATATATCGCGAATACCTTGCCTGTAAATTACTGATTACCAATTCGCGATATATTCCACGTAAAGTTGACCGATTATACAAAACCATTAATGGACCTTACTGACTACCATAACCATTACAATTAAAGTTCTCAAACCATTAGTAAAAAGGTTCTAATATAGTCCCTCTCCGAAAATGTATGGAGAAAACAACTATTTTGAATGGTAATGGTTCTTAACAACCCATTTTTTGTAAGGTTCAATTCCAAAGAATCATACACGGAACCAAATTTTGTTCATTTAAGTTAAAAATATATATGTTTATTAAATAAAAATATGAATAGTTCAAAGTAAATTACAAACATGTTCTCAACAAAAATATGTATGTTTAGAATAAATTCAAAAGCATGTTTATTTCAACAATACATAACCTGGGTAATCAATTTTTAGCGTGTCCTTTTTTCCTTCTTGTTTACATTCGGCAAACTTAACCGAAAACGGCCTGCAAGCGGCGAAACCGAAGTAGAGGGTCCGGAAACCCACGCAATGTTCCAAGCTCGACAAAACCGGTGGAACATCACAATATTAACGGCAATCCGTCGTTTCTGATACCGATCCCCATATCATCCTCACCCCCCACCCGACGTCGAAAGAAAAACAGATCATCCCCGAACACTAAACGTAGAAAGAGGCCGGTATGAGGACCAGCGTCATAAACGACAAAATGACGCTAATATCACAAAGTTTCACCAGTTTTACTGAACTGGATCGGATCGGACACCCACCCCGACGGCCCCCCGGATCCAAACATCCACAGACTTTCCATAATCGCAGGAATTTCCATTAATTTGCTATCCATTTTATTTTGATTTATTCAGCATTCAAATGCTAAAATAATTTCAAAATATGTTTGTTTATTTTAAACATGAAAAGCATGTTTAAAATAAACATATTAATTTTTGATTGCATATAGTTTTCAAATAAATCAAAAATATTCACGTTTATTTTCAACACGAATATTTTTAAAATAAACGTAACATTATTTTTGTTTTAAACATTATTATCAATGGATTCAAACGTAGAATACGTTTGAAATCAACCTAGTTTATGTTTGTGGCCAGAACAAACTGAATTTACGTTTAAATTTACCTCAAATATTTTTGTTTCGACGGTAATTTTTTCTGCGTGTAATACATAAGGTTAAAACTTTATCCCACAAACGTTCATGTAAAGTTCCATAACCATTTCAGTTAAAGTTTCTTCTTCTTTTTCTTCGCATTTCAAGCTTATTGCATATCGCATATTAGCTTATTGCGTGCTCTCAACTTGGTGTTCTAGATGCACTTCCACCATAGAGGTAACTCTAAGACTAGAAGATCCCGAAGAAACGTGCTCAACTTTTTGGCTCAGCTCTGGTATTCTCTTCGGTCCCAAGCTAATCAATTCACCCCTCGAAACATAGGAAAATCCACTAACCCCTCATTTTATCTGTCAAACTTTCATAGCGAATCAAAACAAACATTGTGTAGTCATAGAATTTCGACTAGAATGGGGTACGTTAATCGATTTGCTTGGGACCAATAGGCTAGTCAAATAGTGAGCCAATTTAAAATCGTTAGTTTCGTATTGATTGTTGCTTCCACCACAAACAAAGTGACAGACGAATAACTGGCAAAGAAATCAATTAAAATAATGTGGTTCGCTGTAATAGAATTTTCTTAGAAGCTTGTGCCATCAGCCACCAGATGGGCTATTATTTTTGTTTTGATTTGAACATAGTTGATTTTGTGAGCAATATGATCTTTGACAGTGTGAAAAGAGTGTATCATTTTGTCATTTTTTATGCATTTCAGTTTAGAGTAGAGGGAAAGAGATAGAACCAAAACATTCTAGTACATTTAGTGTTGCCATGTGATAAAAGTTCTTATTTATATTTATATCTACATTCTATGTTTTTTTTTTTCTTCGGCAGCTGGACATTGATTACAATGCTCTAACGGACGGAAAAGGAAACGGACTCTTAGTTGGTTGGCCCTCGTTTTCTGAAAAGTTTATGGAATACGTCACTGCTAATGAACCACGGGAGAAATCTTGCCTAGAAATTATTGATAAACTGCATCGGACGGACATTTCAGTGTGTAAGTTTGGATTTTAGGATTTACTATTGGCCCAATTTATTTACTTTTGTATTTTTTGTTCCTTTAGGCTCTCGTAATTTTCTCATCTATAAATTGTTCCCCGGTGTCATCAAACCAAAACGTATTGGTGGAAGAACCCTTCCTTCAATTGCACAAGCGCAGTCGGATTCTCTCATACACTGTTTAACAGCAAGCGATATTGGTCCAACACTTGAAAAGCTGAAAGAGAAGAAAACTTGTTATCAACCAAGTATCATCGTTGTCGGTGCTGAGGACGCTTGTATCACCCAGTTTTATGTGGTGAAGGACGGCTTGTTCTGGAAGCCCTGCTCTTTTCTAAAATGTATTGATATTGTTGTGAAAAGCTGCAAGGTTTTCGATCTTCAATTTTCACCATACAATGAGCTTTTCTGGACGTTTGTTCGTGATTTCTTCATGCAAGAACGCCATGTAAAATATTCTAAAACTAGTTCACTTGTGCAACTTCAGAAAGTTCTGAAATCATGAATTGCTTCATATGTTCAGCAGTGTTTAATCAAGCATCCTCAATTATCCGGCATCTAAAAAGAATACATGGCACCCCCAGCCATTTCACATTCAAATGTGTTCAATGTGATCCCCATTTGAGTTTCCAGAACGTGTATAGCTACGGAAAGCATATAAAAAATAAACATGAGGTTGTCGAAGAAAATCGTCACGAGCAAACGGTAGAGCAAAATGCACCAATTGAAAACAGCGTAAATCTAGATAACAGTAATACAACTCAAGCAGAGTTTGAGGATAATCCGATAGAAGCTAAGCCACGAGACAATCTGAGTGAAGAAATAAACAGAGTAAGAAATTCGCTCTTTGAATTTACATTAGGATTACATAATAATAGCAGAACAACACGAAAAGAAGTCATAAGCATTCAGAATGCCGTAACCTTGAAGGTGGTCCAACCTATATTGAATATTATATCAGAAGCTACTATACCCTTCATGACAGATGCAACCAGAAAGAAAGATCTGCAGTTAGTTGTACAGGAGTTGAGGCAACCATTTTCTTTTATTTCCTCCGAACATCGCCTGTTCAAGCAGCTTAATTCTCACGACCTGATGAAACTACCAACAATGTACACAATAAATGAAGAATTGGTAGAGATGGTTTTACATGGTGAACCAACGATAGATCTTGAACATGTACGAGGATGTCTCATGCCAATTGAATTTCAAATTAAAAAGTATTTTGAAAGTGGATCCAATTTCCATAAGACAATGGAAAACATAAGGAGCATAGAAAAATCGAATTCAATTAATAATTTCATAAATGGTTCACTCTGGAGACAGGTCAAAGAAGTTCGTAAAAATGATATTTTGATTCCATATTTCCTGTATTCGGACGAGGTTGAAATTTGTGATCCGTTGGGATCGAATGCTGGAACCCATAAGATATGTGGGTTTTATTACAATTTTCCAACAATTCCGTCGCATCATTTATCACGGTTAGAAAATATTTTCGTAGCTGCATTTGTAAACTCAAACGATTTTTCCGAGTATGGAGTTCAAAAATCAGTGAAACCGATTATCGAAATTTTTTGTAAGTTGGAAAATGATGGAATTGATCTAGAGGTAGATGGAGACGTACATCACGTGTTCTTTGTACTAGGAGCTATTTTAGGAGACAATTTAGGAATTAACATGCTTTTGGATTTCACTACTTCGTTCAACTCATTTTTTTATTGCCGTTTTTGTAAAAGACATAAGAGTACAATGGAACAGGATGTCCACATTCATTCTAGCTTGGTAAGAAACGTAGAAAACTACGACGAAGATGTTGATATTAACGATGTTAGAAAAACCGGTGTAAAGCGTGAATCTGTTTTCCATATTTTAAGACATTTCCATGTAACGCAGAATGCAGGAGTTGATCTCATGCATGATTTGTTTTTATCAGGTGTTTGCAAATACGATTTAGTCAAAGTTTTCGGACATTTGATGAACACGCTAAATATAAGTCTTGAAACGATAAACTACAGAAAACAAATGTTTAAGTTAGGTGAAACAGAGCTGAAGTACCTTTCAAAACCAATTACCATGAATAACATAAAAGAATGCAATTTCAAGATGTTTTCTAGACAAATGATGAGTTTCATACATTTTTTTCCGTTAATTATTGGAGACATGATACCAGCAGATGACCCCGTATGGGACTTTTTGTGTTCCCTTGTTAAAATAGTTGAACTACTCTTGCCAAGTTTTGATAACGATTCTCTCGCAACGCTACAAAACGAAATTAAATATCATCACAGTAATTACTTAGAACTGTTTCCAGAATCTAAGCTAAAACCAAAGTTTCATTTACTTTTGCATTATTGCGATGTTATTAGAAAGAGTGGTCCTGTTCGATTTATGAAGTGTTTTAAATTCGAGGAAGAGCACCAGCAACACAAAACTGTTGCACGAAGCGTAAAAACTAGGAGAAATATCTTACATACAATCGCTGTTAAAGCTTCGTTGAAATTTTCCAATAATTTGTATAATAATCAGTTTTTTAAGCCAGACCTTGAATATTGTTGTCTTATGGAAGTTCACTGGTCCGATCTTCATTACTCTAAAAAACTTAACCTAGATCTTAATGAACAGAAAATCATTGTATGTGACAAAGTAACTTTCAAAGGAACGTTGTATAAACGCGAATACTTTTTAAGCATTACCAATAAGCAGAATGTTAAACTGTACGAAATCCATGACCTTATATTTGACAAAGAAAAAATTCATGTAATTGGGATTGAATATGAGGTTCTAGGGTACGATAGACACTATGTATCATATGAAATAGGAAAAAAAAAACGGATCATTACGTAATTCTGGAGCCTGACTGTTTTGATGGCCCTCCGATACATTTATATTTTCTGAATAACGGGAAATGCTACGTTAGGTTGAAAAAATATTTCCATTAAGCGTTACCATCATTAGTACAGAATATGAATGTAATAAATCTTGAATATCTTCAAATAAACTATGTTTGACAGTTAATTATCATTAAGGACTCTGTACCCATTTTGAAACCGTGCTTCCATTTTGAGTTCATTGTAAAAAGCCTGCATACTTAGCCTGCAAAATGGGTGTTAGTGCTGCGAACAAGCTCGTTTCCGGAAATGAGCCAGTCGCACTGGGCCACAGCATTGAAACGCATTTTTTAGGCTTATTATTACAGTCATTAATATATCATTCAAACTTGATTCAAAATGAAGGCATTGTTTCAAACTAGGTACAAAACCTGCATTGTATTTTCCATTCTATCCGTTTAATAAATCAGGTATTCTCACATTATTTCCTATTTGCCTTTATCAACAATGACTAGCCAAATTCTTGAGTCTCTAAACACATGCAAACCAACAGAATGATCCCTTATTGTAAGATATTTCTTTAATGTCAATAATGCTGATTTGCATACGTGTGTTTTGATACACAAAAAAGCTATGTTAGATACAGCAAATAGGGCAAGGGGTGTAACTCTAAGAGTATACAAATCAATCATCCAATCCAAATCCAAACATTGCTTTTCTATCCCTATGAGAACGATCATGAAAAAAAAAAAGCTTGTGAGGGTCGTGTAAGGATAAAAACAGAATTGTTCAGGATTGGACAGGCTTGTATATTCTTAGAGTCACACGTCCTGTGCTCAGCTCAACTTTTTAAGATCCATAAACATTTATTTTGAAAACAAGAATAGTGATATCAATAATATCCAATTTTTAAAATGAAAGATTTAAAAATCATTTTAATTATAGTAAACATTCATTTTAAAAGTGATATTTGAGAAAACTTTTCATTTTCATACTGCTATACTTTTCGCTTGATATAATAAACATTTATTTTGAATACATAACCTTTCTATTTAAAAGATTTAAGTATTTCATCTAAAAGTAAATTTTTTCATGCTAAAAACAATTTTGATGTAGATTCAAAATAGACCATATCTTTTTAACTATATCACACTTTTCTGCCAAAAGTATGTAGTGGATTAGAAACAATCTGCTTTCAAATTAAAAACTGCCATGTTTTTATTTTGACAGTAGTACAATTCGGTTTGAAAGTTTCTACTTTTAAAAATAGGGTGCGGCTTACTTTTGAATTGACAGTTGGCTGACTTTTGTTTTGAATGCGAAAGACTTTCTACCAAAAAGAACCAACGCAAACTTTTAATTCTACCAATGTTTTTTTTAATTGTATCAACGATAATTCTTTGTGTGTAGAGTCGGTGTATAATGAGTCACGCCAAGAGAAAAACAGTTGAACTCGCATCACGGTTTTCGAAAGATTCCCATTCTTTTCACTTGGCAACAGAGGACTTCTACAACAACTTTAAATGACTTCAAGCGAGAGAAAAAATATTGCGGCTGTAGTAAATCATTATATCAGTGATTTTGTCAAATTATCTTAACAAAAAATAGTAGAAATTCTCATTGCTAATCATTACCGAGCGTATCCCATGACAATTTAACGCTCACTGCGTGTTTATGCTCATTTCTTCGATTATATTTTATATTTTATTGCAATACCTTTCGTGGACCTTTCATAGCATCGTAATGTTTATTTACTTTGCACGATAGGTAGCCGGTTTGACAGTTCAATAGGTAGACTTGGCTTCACTCTTGGCGTGACTCATTATACACCGACTCTAGGAAAAACCAATAACCTCTCATTTTATCTGTCAAACTTTCATAGCGAATCATAACAAACATTGCGTAGTACTAAAATTTCGACTAGAATGGGATACGTTAATCGTTTGCTTGGGGCCAATAGGCTAGTCAAGTAGTGAGCCATTTAAAATCGTAAGTTTCGTATTGATTGTTGGTACTACTCCGAGACTGCATAAATTTTTTGTCAATTTCCTCATTTTCGGGCAGATTTGTTAGGTTTTCCACAAGAAACCATGAGACAAATTTAACTCATCGCTGCGTTCCTGCACTTTTGGCGATTATGAGTGAACTAAATTCAAATTTGGGTCGTTCTCATTCGCCGTGCAGTCTTATTATAATTTTGAAGAAAATTTTATTCAGATCAATGTATAAAAGTCACCGAATTATCGAAAGGTTAAATTTTAATCTTTCTTAATTTATTAATTTAATATTTTTGAGTGTACATTGCTAACGGGCACGAACAGTTTTTATAGCTAATTTTTATTGCAGCAGGTAAATCCCGTTTAGTGCCATAACATTTCATCCCCTTTTGACAGTTCTTGATGTCATCATCAATAATTCAGTGCCAACATTTCAAAGGGGCGTAATTGCATTTGTAAACAATGGCTTTAGCCATCGATTTCTCTCGAATAAAAGCTCACTCATGAAAAATAATTACACTAGCAGGTAGAGGAATGTTTCCTCTACCAGCTAGCATTGTTATTTTGGAGAGGTAAGATTTCATTCGCGAGAAATTGACGGCTAAAGTCATTGTTTACAAAAGCAATTACGCCCCTTTGAAATGTTGGCACTGAATTTTCTGTTGTTTTGCTGTTTTTCCGCAATCGGCACACAGGCTGCATTTTTGCATTGGTGCGTGGCATTGTCGCGGCGATCGTTGGAATAAGTGGAAAACATCCTGCCAAACCAGCCGGTTCCAGTTTGATATCGTTCGGAAATCTCGCGTCCAGCCGTTGAACCATGCCGACCGTCGGAGTGAAGCGCGATCTGCTCTTCAAAGCACTCGGAAAAACCTACAGTAGGTTATGTTTACCTTCCCGGGGGTAATTTTTGGTTGTGACTAAAGGTAGATTTTCCGCTTCGCAGCTGACGATGAGTTCCAGAAGCTTTGCTTCGCGTATGGATTGGAACTGGATGAGGTGACCACCGAGAAGCAGATGATCACCAAGGAGCAAGGTGAGGTGGATGCGGCAAAGGATGCCTCGGAGGAAATTATCTACCGGATCGATATTCCGGCTAATCGGTACGATTTGTTGTGCCTTGAAGGACTGGTCCTGGGATTGCAGGTGTTCCTGGGAAAGTAAGTGTGATGCAATCGGTTTTATGAGGGAAGGAGGGTAATTGGAGTTTTTCATTGTAGGATATCTTATCCGAAATTCATGAAGGTGGAACCGATGAAGGGAGCAGTACAGAAGCTGGTCATCACGGAAGCAACCAAGCAGATTCGTCCCTTTGCCGTGGCTGCCGTCCTCAGGGATATTAGCTTTACGAAGGATTCCTACAACAGCTTCATCGATTTGCAGGACAAATTACATCAGAATATCTGCCGCAAGCGTGCGCTGGTCGCGATTGGAACTCACGATCTGGACACCTTGAAGGGTCCATTCACTTTTGATGCAAAACCTCCGAAGGCGATTAAGTTCATTCCGTTGAACCAGGAGAAGGAAATGACGGCGGACGAATTGATGGAGTTCTATTCCACTCACGCTCAGCTGAAGGCTTATTTGCCAATCATTCGCGATTCACCGGTTTATCCGGTAATCTACGATTCGAACGGAGTTGTTCTGTCCCTTCCTCCGATTATCAACGGGGATCATTCGAAAATCAAGCTGGAAACGAAGAATGTCTTTATCGAATGTACGGCCACGGATTTGACCAAGGCGAATATTGTGTTGGACACGTTGGTGTGTATGTTTTCCGTGCACTGCGCCAAGCCGTTCACGGTAGAATCCTGCGATGTGGTTAATCCGAGTGGTGAGACTGTCCAATACCCGGAACTGGCTTTCCGCGACGAGACCATATCCGTCGAGAAGGTTAACGCTCTGATTGGAATCAAATCAAGTCCCGTAGAGATGGCGAAGATACTCAATCGACTGCTTCCGACGTCGCAAAGTGTATTGGACAAGGACCAGCTGAAAGTCGTGGTTCCCCCGACTCGCCACGACATGATGCACGTTTGTGACATCTACGAGGATGTTGCCATCGCGTACGGATACAACCAAATTCCGAAAACCCTGCCCGGAACGATGCACATCGCTCGTCAGTATCCGCTAAACAAGCTTACCGAACAACTTCGGGAGCAAATCGCCCAAGCCGGATTCACCGAAGGTCTGACTTTCACTCTTTGCTCGCGAGACGACATTTCCACCAAGTTGAACCATAAAATAGAGGAAATTTCCGCGGTTCATATCGCAAACCCGAAAACGCTGGAGTTCCAAGTCGTTCGTACGACTCTGATCTCCGGTCTGTTGAAAACCCTGGCCGCCAATCGCAAAATGCCCCTGCCGTTGAAGCTGTTCGAGGTATCGGACGTTGTGCTGGCCGATTCTCGCGCGGAAGTCGGTGCCCGTAACGAGCGACGCATCTGCGCCGTCAATTGCAACAAAACCGCCGGCTTCGAGGTGGTCCACGGACTGCTGGATCGAGTGATGCAACTGCTGGAGGTTCCCTGGGATAAAGAAAATGGGTACTACTTGCGGGCGGCTGACGATCCGGCATATTTCCCCGGAAGGTGCGCTTCCATTGTCTACAAGGGAGCGGATATCGGTCGAATCGGAGTGCTGCATCCGACCGTGTTGCACGCTTTCGAAATTACCACGCCGTGCTCGGTGGTGGAGTTCAATATGGAGCTGTTCGTTTGAAGCGGTTATAGGGAATGGTAGGCACCAAGATGTTCGGTTTTGAATTTGATTAATTGGCGAGGAAAAGAAATACATCGGCATTGGCTGATTGAACAAAGTTTATCCGGAAATCCTAGTTATTAGTTATTAGTCATCGATGACTTTCCTTTACAACGGTCGGCGAATCTTACTAAGCGACTGAGTAAAATTGTGTTGCTATCTTTTTTTATCTCATGAAAATTTTACTCAGTTATATAACGTGGGGCTATAAATGATTTATTTCAAGTTAGTAACTTTATGAAAGATTAGAGATCGTTAGTGAAGTCCCATTAACTTAAAAACATTTGTGGGAATTCTTTACAGAAGTTCTGAGGAATGAAAGGAAATGCTGATAATTTCAGAGAAGCTTCATAAACAAACTGCGCAAACATAAGGGAAGTTAACATCCTGATATTTTCAGGGAACTTACTTTAAGGACCTCAAAGCGTATATATTTGCTTCCGAAAAACTGCAGGACATTTTAAGAAGTTATTCTAGGAACTTCTTAAGACAAACTTCTTGAGACAAATTTTACTCATCGCTGAGTTCCTTTGAAGTGCGAAGAACAGTCTCCCTTATTCTGCGAGTCACGTGACTCTCTGTCGCCGTTGAGGTGACAATTGTCACCTTGTGTGAGGTGACTCTCCATGCAAACCAAATGGAGAGTCAACTCACACGAGGTGACTATTGTCACTTCACCGGTGAGAGAGAGTCGACATCAAACCAGCCGGACATTCTTGATCGGGATTTAATCCGAGGATAATACCGGTTGGAGCTTACCACCATTAGTTACTAATAGAAATTAGAAATACTCAGAGGGAGAAATAGGCGGAGAGAATGTTTTGAGCCAAATGAACTGTCAAAATCTGAGCCAATCGAACATTCCCATTAGAATTTTTCCGAGGATTTCTTATTCTTACTAGATTAAATTTGAGAGTATTGCAATAGAACAGAAATTCAATCACCTTGTGTGCTTCTCAAATTCAACTAGTTTTTTAAATCAAAACAATATTCTAAATCTATTGATTAATTGATCTTAGTTGGTTAACTAATAGCACCTAAAGTTCTTGACACCTTATCAACAACATATGCAATGTGTTGCTTGAATGAAAGCTGCTAATCCAAGATCACACCCAAGTCTTTCACCTGATTCACGCGTTCGATTGTCGAGCCAAGCAGGTCATAGCTAAATATTATCGGTTGTTGTTTTCGTGAGAACGTAATAGCGGAGCATTTGGCTGGTTCACTGCCATTCTGTTTAACCTGCACCAACTAGCGCATACATTCAGTTGACGTTGAAGAAAGTGACAGTCAGCGATGGAGCAGATGCGTAGGAAGATTTTGAGGTCATCTGCATATTATAACCGAGGAGCTTCGATGACCAGATGCACGTCGTTGAAGTACAGTATAAAAATTAATCGGTAAGATATGATCGAAACCAACTCAGAAGATTACCGAATACACCGAGCCTGCCGAGTTTAGCAATCGCAATAGCATGGTTCAACTTGTCGAATGCTGCGGATAGGTCTGAATAAATAACGTCCCTTTGAACCCGATCCGACATGCTTTCGGTTATATACGATGTGAGACACAGCAGATTGGTGGTTGTAGAGCGGCCGACAGTAACCCCATGTTGATCAGCACTCAAATACTGCTTGCAATGGGATAGCAACGGTTCCATAATCACTAGCTCAAATAGCTTTGAAACGGCACTTAACGATGTAATTCCTCGATAGTTATCCACAGCTCGTTCCCTTTCTTTTTTGTGGACGGGAACATGTGCGCAAATTTCCAGCAAGATGGAAATATGCCACCTGAGAGAGACATTCGGAACAGGCGAAGAAGCGGAATTAACAAGCTAGCAATATGTATCTTCAAAAATACAGATGGAACTCCATCAGGTCCAGGATTGAAGGATGACTTGAGCAGAGTCGCGGCCTTAGAAATCATTTCTGCATTAACATCAATTGCACCCAGCGTTTGATCGTTTGCTGGAACGTTCCTGGCAGCCAGGTTAATATGGTCGTCAGTTAGTATCTCATTAGTGAATACACTGGCAAACTTTTCGGAAAAAAGGTGGCATATATCCTGAACAGTGGCAGCAACTGCTCCGTTGAATTCCATAGACGATGGGAGGCCAGATTCCCTGCGTTGCTCGTTCATGTAGTTCCAAAAGGATTTCGGGTGTAGCTTAAGTTTGCGCTGGATGCCTCGTTGGAAACTTGAAAAGCATTCACGACTGACTCGCTGGTACATGTGATTCAGCCTCACATAATGTAGTTTCTCTCGTCTGCCAGGGAGGGTGAGACACTTTGTGGTGAGTTCTTTTCGGGACGTGTCTGTCAATGACATATGCCAAGACATTGTAAAAAGTTTGCGCTGCAGCCTCAACGTCATCTGGATCAAGGATATTCTCCCATACCATGCTAGACAATACATCTATGATGCTACGGTGGTCAACTTTACGGAAGTCATAAGACACCGTAGCAAGATAGTTGTCGAAATCACGCACGAGTTTGTCCTCAACAGCGAGGGGGGCGACACATCCAAATCTCAAGTCTAGATGCTCAACAAATCTCACACTAGCGAATCAATCTTCGAAAAATCTTCTTTCATTTCTCGCATCTACTTGCATCGCGCGTCATCTTTTTGCAAGAAATCTGCAGAATCGTCGTCAATCTTCTTTCTATCTACTCAGCGTGTGCGCAGCTAGCCACAGCAAAACACAATCTTTCCTGCATCGTAGATAGAGTCGTCGCCCTCGCTCAACAGTAACAATTAGAGGAGGGTGATGTGGAACTAGCTTAGTTAGGCGGTTTAAGGAAATTTTAACGGAATTTTCACGCGTTCTCGGTTCTGTTCAATTTTGATGGAGGTTTCTGATTCTGGCAGCGTATGTTCCAGATTCGTCGGAGTTTTCTCGCATTCTCGGTGGTGATTTTCGGTGCTGCCAACGAAAGTTTCAGGAAATCTGTGCGGTATTTCTCGGGTTTTTTTTAGGTGGACGAGCTTCCGCATGATTCCGGTGGAGATTTCCGATGCTGCCAATGGAGGCTCTACGAAATTTCGACGGAGTTGTCTCGCGTTCTCGGCGGAGCAGGTTTTTCGTGATTTTGATGTTGGCAGGGACAGATTCTGCACGATTTCGTTGTAGATTTTCTTTGCTGCCGGAAAAGGTTGCAGGAAGATTTTCGTGAATTCTCTACTTCGAGTTTTATTTTGCTGTTGTGTTTGTTTATCTTCGCCTCGATGCATGTATGTATGTACTAGTTGTCACCGGAAAAGCGCATGCTTTGTTTTGATGTTCACATTCCACTGAATGGTTGATGGAAACGATGGAAATTAAATGCATTTGATTTAAATTAAATCTAGACCAACAATTGAAATAGGCGGAACAACCAAACGTAAACAATGGCTTTAAATGGCTGTTGACACCACTGGGCTTCAGCTGTACTCGCGACCGGCCTGCCGTGAAGTGAGATGTGAGAAGCGAGATGTATGCGTCACCGGTCTACAGCGGTAGGACCGTCGTTGATTGTTTACATCGATTCGTGGAGAAGTAGAACGGAGGATACAAACAAAAACAAACCCAAGAGATAGTGGAGGAGCTCAGTTTTGTTTAATAAAGTTGTAAAATCACAAACAAATCTAAAGTTTAAATCAGTTTTCTGTGGAGGTGGTATTTTCTTAGTTTAGTGCTAAATAATCCGTAAGTAAACAAAATGAAATGCACTATACTTACTAGATGTGACATAAACTATTTCAATATTAGGGTTGACTTTCTAAATCGGATGATTACCTGCCAGAAGCTGAAGATACTATCAGAATAGTTCCGTAAACAAGTTGAATTAATTGATTGATTGTGAGTACCTATAAATAATAAGATTAGAAGCAAAACAATTAGAAACTAAACTTACCTATTTAGGACTAGTGTTGGAACTGAAAACAGCAGCATAACCAGTGTCGTAGCACGAGGGATTAGAGGGGACTATTTCTTGTAAGTAATTTAGTAATTAATTCAAGGTGAAATAGTTCTTTATTAAAAAATATATTACAGTTGAGCTGCTTGAAAAGTTGCTGCAAAAATTTAGTCATATTCTATAATTGATCCGAACAATGGCTTTCTCGAGAATCAAAGCACATCCAAGCAATCTAACCAACCGGTGAACACTCGTGTTTATTTCAGTTACCGTGGGGACGTAATTTGTGATTAGCCCCGGTCCCTTTCAAATTGTATCATTATTTCTGTACGGTCCTTATATTTGAAATGACGTTTCACATTCATCTAGGGATGGCCGACTTTCATTCGAATAATCGATTAATCGATTAACGAACCGAAAAGTAAAATATTTGTAATCGGTTATATGATGCCGATATAAGCATTAACATCTCCAGAGGGTCATCACCGATCGTTTCAAAATGTGCTGCACTCTCATTGGTGGAAAAATGGCAGCACAGCGAACAAAACATAATCGATTAGTTGTCAATCGAATAATTAAAAAATGGGACATCTCTGATTTTGGTGTGATTGTTTTGATAAAAATGAGCGCAAAATTTCATCTCTACCGAGGGGGCACCAAAACCACAAAATTACGTTGAATACGGGGGGTATTCATTGGATGAAAAGGACCGTAAAAGAGGACACTAAAATAGAAAGTTTTTCTTCCGACAGTTTCATCTTAGTATTTATCTTTGATCTAACACCGTCATCTGATAGAGCAAATTTGCTTTATCGAATTGCATTGTTAGTTTGCGTGGGAGTGTTTTGATTCTCGAGAATTTTGTGTTTAAAGCCATTATTTACGTTTGGCTGTTCCGCCTATTTCAATTGTTGGTCTAGAAATGCATATTCAATGGGCATTCTAAAAGTAAGACTCCGCTAGGGGACATGACTATTTGCGACGAAATTATTGAGTGTAGCATTTTGATGTCTTTTAGAATGTTTCTTTTTTGAGTACTTTAATTGAGAAGTGAGCATTTTTTATTAAGGGAGGTATACACTAAGATAAAAAAAATAACTTTTTTATATCTTGTTGAAATTGATGAA